CCTGCTATTTTGCTACTTGTTTTCTGGTTATTTTGTGGTCTTTCCTTTCTTCCTGTCTTCCTTTTAGTGGAGGTGATTTTTTCTGGTGGTGTGATTTAATTTATTGATTTTTATTTTTGCACATCTGTTATATGGTTTTTGATTTGAGGTTACCGTGAGGGTTGCAAATACAATCTTATAACCCATTATTTTAAGCTAGTAACAACACCGTTTGCAAAAAAAAACCAAACAAGCAAAAATAAAATGAATTAAAACTCTACACCCCAACTTCATCCTCCTGCTTTTAAATTTTTTGTTGTTTCTATTTTTATTTTATTGTACTATGTCTTGATGGTCTTAAAAAAGATTTGGAATAATTCTCTGGATTACCTAGTAGAGACTCTTCTATTCTCTTACCTTCTCCCAAACAAATGGAATCTCTCTCTTTTCTGAGCTAACTGTAGCTGGGGATGGGGTGACACAAACACCCCTGCCACCACTACCACTGGAACTTCACTGGATCAGACCTGAAGCTAGCATAGCACTGGATCTTACCCAAGGCCCTCTGTAACCACTAGCTGGCTATGACCTATGGTCACTTGAGGTCCTGGGTCTCCACAATCAGCAGGTGGTGAAGCCAGTTAGGCTTATGTCCTTCCCATCAGGGTGGCAAGTTCCCTAAAGCCCTGATGTGGGGAAGTATCCAGAGGCACCATCTGGGTGCCAGGGTCTGCAGTCAAAAACCTTAAAAGTCTACCTGATACTCTGTTATACTGCAGCTTAGCTGGCACTCAAACCCCAGTACACAGCTCTTCCCATTCTTCCCTCCCCTTTCAACAGGCAGAGGAGCCTCATCCCATGGGCACTGCTACCACAGGCCCACAGGGAACACTAACAGGCTACCATGGATGTTCCTTTAAAGTTCATCCAGGGGCTGTTTAGTCAGGTTGTGGTAAATGCCGCCCGGCCTGAGACTCACCTTTCAGGACAGTGCTCTTCCCTCTTGCCAGCGGCTTGTCCAGAAATGCCACCCAGGAGTCAAGGTCTAGAATCTGAGGCTCCAAGAGCCTACTTGGTTTTCTAGCCCTCTGCAGCGGAACTGGTACCTAAGGTGCAAGACAAAGCACCCTTTACCTTTCTCTCTGCTTTTCTTAAGCAGAAGGAGTCTCTCTCTGTAGCTACCACTGCTGGGAATGTGCTAAATCTTACCTGAAGCCAGCATATCTCAGAGTCTCTCCCAAGGCCCTCAGGTAACTTCCCTTCAAGGCAGTGGGTTCACTTCTGGCTCAAGGTGTGTCTGGAAATGTCACTCAGGAGCTAGGGCCTGGAAAGGGGGCCTCATGACTCTGGTTCCCTAACCTACTGTGGTTGGGCTGGTATTTACTGTGCAAGACAATGTTCTCCTTACTCGTCTCTCTCCTACCCTCACATGGAAGGAAGTACCTATTGGATCCATGTGCTATGTAGCCTGGGGTTAGGGGAGAGGTGATGCCAGCATTCTCTTAGCCACCTTAACTGGTGTCTCAGTAGGTTTCATGTTCCCTACATTCACTGGCTCTGAACCCAGTTGAGCAATAGGACTCACGTAAGAGTTGCAGTCCTTGTGGCCTAGACTGCCTTTCAAGTTTATTTAGGGCCCAGGACACTTTAGACTGCAGCAGCAAGGCTTGCCAAGAATCAAATCCTACCTTCTGGCTAGGGCTGGTTTCAATACTCCTTCCATGAGGGACATCAGCTGGGTTCAACCCGGTTTTGCTTTCTGCTGTGCCAGAGCAGCACTGAGTTCAATGCAGTGTCTCACAGTTGCTGTTCTCTCCCTCTCTCAAGCACATGATTCTTTCTCTGCACCACTCAGCTACTGTTGAGGGATGAAAAAGGGGGGTGGTATCTGTGATTTAAGACTGTTTCTCATACCCTCTTCCAGTGCCTCTTTCAGCGTGAAATTAAAACCAGGTGCTGTGAGTGCTCACCTGATTTATTTATGAAGGTGCTTTTTTTTTGTTTAGATAGTTGTTAAATTGATGCCCTTGCAGCTGGGGGTGGTAAGGGGACTCCAAGTGAAGTCTTCTCTTCCACCATCTTGCTCCAACCTTCGTCAGTTTCTTGATAGTAAGTTTTGAAATTAGGAAGTGTGAGTCCTCCAACTTTGTTCTTTTTCAAGATGATTTCTGCTATTTAGGTCTCTTGCATTTTCATATACATTCACTGTATCTCATACGTTTTGGCACATTATGTTTTTGTTATTATTCATACTAAGCTTATTCTAATCCTTCTTTGGATTTACTTTTGAACCAGTGATTATTTTGGAGTGTATTATTTAATTTTCAGTTATCTGTAAATTTTTTATTTTTCTTCAGTTACAGATTTTAAATTTATTACATTGTAGTCTGAGAAGGTACCTTGTATAATTTCAATGTTTTAAGTATATTGACACTTGTTTTGTCACCTAATATATGACTATCCTAGAGAACATTCCATATTCATTTGAACAGAATCTGTGTTTTGCTTTTGATGGATGGAATGTCCTACAGGTATCTGTTGGTTTAGTTAGTGTACAAGGTTGCTAAACATTTTTTGTTTCCTTACTGGTCTGTCTAGTTTTTGTATCCATTATTGAACGTGGGATTTTATTGACCTCAAGTATTGTTTTTATTTTCTATCTATTTTTCCTTTTAATTCTGTCATGTTACTACTTCTTGCATTTCAGAGCTTTTATGTTAGGTACGTAAATGTTTGTGATTTCTCTACATTCTTGATGGACTGACCATTTTACTATTATACAATGTTATTCTTTGTCTCTAGTAACAATTTTTTCTTAAAGTCTATTTTCTCTTAGGTCAGTTTAGTCTCTGCAGTTCTCTTTTGCATAGGATATCTTTTTCCATCCTAATAGCAAAACCAATTGGAAAGGGATAAATGCTCTGTATTAGAGATACAGTTACCTTTTTTTTTCTTTTTAACCTATGTCAATAGAGTACCTTCTATTCATAGGAATCCTTTCTCAGTCTTCTGTATGTTTTCTGACTACAACAAGATGAAACCAATTCAAAATAGATTTGAAATCAATAACTGAACTCTGAATTAGTGCTCAATAATATTTGTTGAGTAAGTGTTGCATAGTGATATACTGAAGTGGTCTTCCTCCTCTCAGCTAATGCTGCATTCTCAATTTTTCTTTACTTTCCCAGAAAGGAAACAGATGAGTCAAGTTCCCCATATTTGATTTAATTCAAAAGTTGTTATTTTTATTTCATAATATGAAGCATCTGTTGCAAAGGATAACAATTACTAGGTAAATAAGTTAATCTATCTTGATTTTACTTTTCTCACCAATAATAGGAGTATATTTGATTAGAAACTCTAAGCAGCTTTAAATTCTTTATTAATGTATGCTGAAGATTCTATGACTCTGTGAAATGTTTTTCTTAGATATTATAGAATTAATGAGTTAGGTTTCCAAGACTAATATATGGCCCCTTTCAGCAATTTTAGTCCTCATTCCAGATCTACTAAATCAGAAATACTGGGGGTGGGACCTTGCAATCTGATTTTAGCAAGCTTTCTAGGGGATTCTGATGCAGCTAAAGTTTAGGAACCACTGTCCTAAAAATTATCTTAACTATGTGGTAGGAAATAATTGATTCATTGATTTCTTTTTTTTTTTTTTTTTTTTTTTTTTGATAGGAAGTCTCGCTCTTGTACCCCAGGCTGGAATGCAATGGCATGATGTCGGCTCACTGCAACCTCTGCCTCCCGGATTCAAGCGAGTCTCTTGCCTTGGACCCCTGAGTAGCTGGGATTACAGGTGCCTGCCACAATGGCCGGCTAATTTTTGTATTTTTAGTAGAGATGGGTTTTCACCATGTTGACCAGGCTGGTCCAGAACTCCAGACCTCAGGTGATCCACCCACCTTGGCCTCCCAAAGTGCTGGGATTACAGGCATGAGCCACCACACCTGGCCAATTGTTTTTCTTTATAGCATCAGCTTCTGAGTACTGGGCAAAACTTCCAGCTCTTTCTCACATATCCGAAATAATAGTTTTTGTAAGCATGCAGTTTAGATCAGATATGAAACTTTCAGTTCCATACACAGAATTAAAATGTTGAACCTGAAATTTTGAAATCAGATGACTATAGAAAATTTATAAATCATACAAAGACTTGGCCGGGCATAGTGGCTCATGCCTATAATCCCAGCACTTTGGGAGTCTGAGGCGGGTGGATCATGAGGTCAGGGGTTCGAGGCCAGCCTGACCAACATGGTGAAACTCCGTCTCTACTAAAAATGCAAAAATTCGTCAGGCGTGATAGCAGGCACCTGTAATCCCAGCTACTCAGGAGGCTGAGGCAGGAGAATCACTTGAACCCGGGAGGCAGAGGTTGCAGTGAACTGAGATGGTGCCACTGCACTCCAGCCTGGGTGACAGAGCCAGACTCCATCTCAAAAAATATAAATAAATAAATAAATAAATAAATAAATAAATAAATAGACTTATATAGAATATTTCCCACATTTTTAGTGAATCCCGAATTTACTGATTATATAAATAGTTGTGTCTTATATTAATTGAAATAAAGTCATTTAATCTCCCTGGTTCTCTTGTTTTATCAGTAAAACAAAACTGATCCCAGTGAAGACTCTTTCTGTAAAATCTTATGATTCAGGCATTCAACAGTTTTATACTAAGGCATTAGAATGTTTAATATTACATATAACACAGAATAGAGAAGCTGATTACTATAACATTTAGCAATCCAAACACATATCCCCTATAAATAAAAGTCTCTTAAAAACTGTGTTTTCATGAGAGTCTAGTTAAGGTTACACAGCAGGTTTTACTTTTATGAGAACAATTTAATAATACTTTTTGAGTTCATGTTCTTTGAGTGTGGCACTATTCAGCCAAGCATACAAATGTTCTTGCTCTTGATAAGCCTCAGTAGTTAAAAGTACTTCCCAGGAGAATCTATAAATAAAAGAGATCTCTGTTTCCTTATTTCAAAACAGCTGACTTGAAAAAGGTCTGTTGACACTTTTTTTTAAGAAGCTCTCTACCATGAAGATTCAACTTTTTTTCTTTATTCTGCTCTTTTGGGTCACAGTTTCACAAGGTAATATGCAAATATTTATGGGGATTTATACTAACAAGTTTGAGAAGACGTAAGTTGTTTTTTGATAAAAGTATGATAATAACGTAGAGATTAAAACATCATTCCACAAAAATGTAATGTGGTATTTTAGATTGGACTCCAGAACGGATAATAAAGACAATAGTGAAAAACAGACAAAAGCAGCATCTATGAAAACTGGCAAAATTTGAATAGAGCATAGCTTAGTAAATACTACTACATCAATATTAATTTCTTAATCTTAATTAATGTTACCATGATTATGCAATATATAATATAAGGGGAAGCTGGCTTCTACCAACTTTGCAACTCTTTTGTAAATCTAAAATAATATTATAACAAAAAGTGGTGTGGGAGATAAATGGAGGGAGATTTTACTTTGCTGAAAGTGATGCTCAGAGATTTCAGACAGAAGATTGGACTTGAACAATGTATTTGAGGGCAGAAATAATAATTTTTGAAATGTCACAGTATCACTAGATCAGTGGTTCTCAGAGAGGAGTGAGTTTGTGCTCAAGGGAACATCAGGCAATGTCTAGAGACCTTTTAGCTCATCACAACTTGTACTACTGGCATAGTACCAGTTGCAGATAGAGTCCAGGATGCTGCTAAATAGCCTACAATGCACAGAACAGCCCCTTAGAGCAAAGAATTGTCTTATCCAAAAGGTCAATATTGCTTAGAATAAGCCGCCCTGCCCTTGAGCTTGGCATCCAGTTGACAGGGAGTATATTTAATTGATACTATAATGCTTGCAAAGGAGATTAGCAACCCAAGGACACAAGCTGGAGAACCCATGTAGAGGTCAGAATGAGGAGAAAAAAGACAATAATGTCTTAGAAAGGTGAAACAAGACAAAGAATGAATAAGAGAAGGGGTGGGGTCAGTCCAAGGTGGAATCATGGACAGCAGTGCCAAATGTGACAGAACTCTTGTCAAAAGTGAGTATAATCCAGGTGTATGTCACTGGCCATCACTTATGGGTTTGATAATCATAACTCCTCAGAAAATGTAGAATAAGTAATGATCTTTAGAAGTGAATATTTAAATTATGCAGATTAACTAGATGTTCTTCTATGTTTTTGTTTCTTTAAGTTGCTTTGTACTCTGAATTGCTTCAGTTACATTGAGAAGAAAGCCAATATTCATAGCAGGACTTGGTTTTATAGCCACTATACCAATGACATAGATAATGTAGCTCTGAGTCTATGTATTAGCTGACAGATATTACTACTCACCATCACTTGTCAGCTGTTGGAAATGGAGACAGACTGCCTAGGCAAAGAGCCCTGGCCTCTGAGAAGACCAAGCAATAATTAATAACAGGAAACAGTGGCATAATTTATTTGTTTTCATACGTGAAAATATTATATCTATCCTTTGGTCAAGAATTTGATGTGCCTACAAAAAAAAAAAAAAAAAAAAAAGACTGTGAAACAAATGACTTCTGAAAATGCATTGGCCAGGGTACAATTTAAAATATAAAATAAATTTTTTGACTTGGTACAATTTAAAATATAAAATAAAAAATATTTGACTTGGAATAGATCATATAGCCGATCAAACCAATATCCCCAAACCCCCTAAATACAATCATTCTAAATAAGAAACTTGTAGTGAGATTCCATCTTTAAGTTAACAAAACAAAACATATATCTTTTCTTACAGCTTTGACTATTACAAAGTTATTTTTGTATTGTGTCAAATTTTGTGTTTCTTATAATGTGCAAATTTTAGTTGCAGTTTTGCTCTCCTGGACATGTCTTCTTGTGACTCCAGCTACAAATCCCTCACTCATTCTTTCATGATTGATGAGCAAAGATAAAGCTAGAGTAGGAGTTAACAAACTTCTTCTAGAAATAAGTGAGACAACCAATACTTAAGGCTTTATGAACCCTAAGATCTCAACTGCATTATTTTAATGCAAAAACAGTTATAGACAATGTGTAAGTGGATGCATCTGTGTGCCGCTAAAATTATTTCCAAAAACAGGTGGCAGGCTGGATTTGGGCCCCTGACAATAGTTTATTGATTGCTAGTCAAAAGATTTAATAGCACAAACAGTAATTGTGATAAATTCTTGGTAAGTTATTATTTTAGAAACTTTGTGATGAAAGAAGAAAAAGGTAACACTGGTAATTTTAGAAATCATGTAATGGTCAACAACGGCTCCACTTTTTTTTTTCTTTATCAATGTTGTTATTAGACACATGTCTGAGTTACATAATTTCTTCGGGGAAATAAACCCCAAATATTCAGGGGAATTGCAGGAATTTAGACAAATTATCCAGCGTTGTCTAGCTCTCGACATTTTAGAGAAGCAAAATCAAGCTACAGTGAAAATCACTTGAAGAAGAATTCATAAAGCACAACATTCAGTCTAAATAATGTTAGTGAGAGCAGAGAACAGGCTGCTCAAATGTAATTAGATGATCGTAGAGACAGAGTCTGACGAAAAGATAAATTATGGTCACTTTTCTTCCATTGATTTTGGGAACCAACCTGGGTCACTGCCCAGTTTCTTGTAAGACAGAAAGTAGAAACACCTAACTTAGGTCCAAGACCCTTTTTATTTCTAGAATGTAGTTTGCACCAAGGGACAGTAAATTCACTTAATCTTTCCTCCATAGGTAGGTGGACGTTTTCACTCTATAATCTTTTGCTTCATGGACCTTCTCCTTTTAAAACATGGATGTGTCATAGCTAGATGGCTAATTTCAGTCATTCTTCCCTTCTTACAGCCAAAAAGAAATATCCTGAGTATGGTAGCTTGGACTTGAGGAGAGAGTGCAGAATGGGTAATGGTCGATGTAAAAATCAGTGTCATGAAAATGAAATTAGGATTGCTTACTGCATAAGACCTGGAACTCATTGCTGCTTGCAGCAGTAACGATGACAGAAGAAAAGAGTCACAAGCTCGAAGAAGAGAAGACCAGTGTTAAGTTTTCCCAGCACATCCTTCAAGGCCTGTGTGTCTCTATAATACACAAGAACTAAATAAAACTTAATGTTGAACCATTCAGAAGTGATCATATGTCACGCTCATATCTGGTGCCTTTACATGACACTTTTCTCCTGATTTGTTGGTACCAGAAGTAGTGGGACTTATTTTATGCAAGTTCCTCAAGTTTTCTGTGCTTCATGTTCCACAAGTTCCACAAGTTTTATGTGCCTTGTGTTAGTTGCCATAAGTAAGGTTGTGGGAAACCCTAAGTCAAAGAATTGGGAAAGCTTATGTCTAAGATACAAGCTTCCAGTAGAAACGCACTGTTATTTTATTAGATACTATTCCACAGATTACCCCTATGTAAATACATAAATCCACCGGGCTTGGGAGACTGGACATGGAGAGGGAAGATCTTTATTGTGAGAGAGACAGAGCTGAAGTGAAAGAATCATGAGTATAAGAATGGAAGACCAGGGAAAAATCACAACCAGCTTCAATTTCTACTCTTATTTATTATTTAGTAAAGACAAATGTGTATCAAGAAATGAGAGGTAGTAAAAAGAAAGGAGAAGAATTTCAGAAAGAAGAGGAGAAAATAACTGAAAATTTAGACCAAAAAAGTCAAAAACTATGACTAATAGTTTAATGCAGCTATTCAGTCCTGAGAAATGACTGTGTCTGAGGAGATACATGACAAAAGGAAGCAGCAATAACCTTCACTTTTCAATTTCACTCTGCCTCAGTTCCTCTACTACTGCCTCTGAGGATCCACAGTATTCCTCCCTAAAACAGCTCAGTGATGCATCTGTACCATTTGTTTTCCATTCAGAAGAGAGAATTCTGGAATACAATTTAAACATTAATTGTATTCAAAATTCAAAATTCAAATTCAAAATTCTTAAGAATTAATTAATTCAAAATTCATAAGAAACATTGTCAACACCATGACATAATAATAAAACAGAATCCTCTCTTCCTACCCCTCAAAATAAAATTAAATAATCTTTTGTCAAATTAAAGAAAAATGAAAGGTATTAAATCATACATATAGGTCAGACTTAGACTCAAAAGGAGATGGTAAATCAAGAAATTCCAGGAACTTGCTACTCTCTTGATATTTTTATTATGGCCGCTCTGTGGATCCAGTCTATTCTTCAAATGCAGATATGAGATCTAAGTATGCTCATACTAAGCATTATCTACAACAAGCCATGAATGGGGAAATTTATTTTCTCTATTCAGATAAAATTTACATATTCTTTGATTGTCTTGTGTTTTCTTGCAATGTAAATATCTTCAAAAGTATCTTTACAATATTTATTTATAACAGCGTTTCTCAACCTTGGCACTGTTGATATTTTGGTCCAGGTAATCTTTGTTGTGGGAGCTATTCTGCTCATTATATGTTTTTCAGCATTCTTACCTCCTACCCTCTAGATGCGAATAGCACACTTTCTCCCAATTGTGATAATCAAAAATGTCTACCTATATTGCCAAACATCCTCTTTGGGGGAGGGGACAAATTTACACTTGGCTGAGAACTACTGATTTATGAAGTCAAGCACCCACTCTCACAAAAATTTAAAAATGACAATGGAAACAAACAAACAAAAAAAAACAGCGAGATTTTCAGGTGGCCAATTACATTTTCTGTGTTTTATGAGAAATAGTTATCTATTTAAATTTTTTATATATTATGTATGGACTAGAGGTGATATATTGGTGGCTCCAGAAAGAAAAATTGGCCTTTTGGATAATGAATGTATTAGCTATGTCAAGAAAGAGATTAGTAAAAATAAATGTTTAAAATGAAAGTTATGGAAGTTTGATTTTTATTTATTTTACCTAAGTAGAGACTGAGCCATCACTGCACCAAGACCTCTAAAGCAGGACTGAGAGGCCTAATATACTATTAACATGGGGAAAATAAGAGTTGAGTTTGTTAGGAGCCAGCAAGAAGATGAGAGATTTTTCTAAAAAACGCGTGAAGCATATCTGCACATAAATTAGGCTGTGCTAAAACTACTGGTGTACT